AATCGACAGAGGTAAAGAAGCTTGTTGTGTTCGACCCTCAGTGCCGTTGGGCCATGGCTCATGTCTGGTAGGAACGCCGTATAAGCAATGAGCGTGTTCGGCGTTTCGTATTTGATGCACGAAGACCGAATGAACTGCTTAGCATCAGTATATCGATCGCCATGCTCCGATGGCTGGGCCACGTGTTACGCATACTAGCACACATATTATTGCGACATGCGTTGTTTGCGTGACAGGGTTTGGACAGAAGAAGAGGCTAAGAAGAATGAAAGCACCCACTTCGAAGTTGGCTCCGGTTGGAGCATCTCGACTCCACGGTTGGAGTAAGAAAAAAGCGGAACACGTGTGCTTTGATACAATTCTGACATGGCGAAGAACCGACCCCAATACCACCTGAGTTGCGGGTTCTCTTATCTCCCCTCCCGGTTAGCCTCTCCGTCAAATCACGATCTCATCATCAGTGGGTAATATAAAAAAGTGGAATACTTTATTTGCTTTCCTTTTGTAGATTTTCATCCTTCTTTTACTATCATTGTATTGAATTGCATTGCGTCACAATAGCTGAGTTGATTCTCACCCCTAGTTCAAGTGCACAATAAAAATGGCTATGATAATCATAATCATAATAATAATAATAATAACAATAACAATAAAGAACTCATCTTCCGGATTCAGTGAAAACGATCTGACCCGATTAAACCAACTCGATAAGCGAGTGGCTCCAACTAGTGGAATGACTACAACCGTCAGTGCTACAGCATTACGTGTGTAACGTTTATCGGTGGTACGTTGAATGACGCGCAGCCAATGATCCTAGAAACAGAACAAGGCTGGATGGCAACAACTACGGAACTATTAAAATATATACAGTTGAATAAATTGGGCAAATCTAAATTGTTCAAGATTCCGGCGCATTAGCGTCAACAACGAAACGCAAGTATACAAGAGGGAAGAAAGCGCTGTTCAAACCAAACAACCAGAGGACAAGTGAACACACGATAGACGCGTGAAAGTATTAGCAAAGGCACTGGCCAATCAGAAGAGTGCATCAGGAAACTGGATGATGAGGTACGCACGCGACAAGTGCTGTCAATTTGTTGGTGGATGTTGACATAAAATCGAAAAGCACTTTGAAGTCCACACATAGCCATATACCCAAGTCTCCAGAGAGTCCATCAGGAGGCGATCAATTCAATGTGTGTCTGACGCAAATATAAAGGTATCAGCAGTAGGCCGGAGAAATGTAAGAACGCTCTGCTACCATGCAACTACCAGCATTTGCAGGCGGGATGCTTGAATGTGATTGCAAACTGATAGGTTGATGTTGAGCGCACGAAACAGCGTGATTGTCCAGTGCAGCATCAGATTATCACTCCGATTACCAATCGGAGGTTGCTCCGCGGAGAGGGGTTTACGCATAGCAGTACATAGCTAGTCGGCCGATGGCCGAGTGGTCTGCGCATTTGGTTTGCAACCATAAGGTCATCGGTTCGAATTTGCGTAGGGTTGGGCGTCCTCGCGGTATACTTAGCCCGCGCGCGACATGGTGGTCGCGCGGCAGCGAAACGCCGATACGGCGTACAGCTGACACATTATTATTATTATTATTATTACTATTGCGAGGAGTAGTAATGCGTAGGAGTAGTAGTAGTAATAGCAGTAGTAGTAGTAATGCGTAACAGTGATATACACGTACCAAGTATCAGCGCGCGATCTCGATAAGTGAGAATTGTGCCAAAGATCGATAATTAGCAAGAACAATTGTTGACAGTCAGAAGGGTATAGATTTAATGCCAGTGTTCCTGAAGTGAGTCCTCCACAAATGAGTGGGTGTCACGCAGATTAACACGCACCGCGCAACTGTAAGTGAAGTGGCCAACGAATCTAGAAATAATTAGCCGGATCCCGTTTCGATACTGAGCTTAACAGAACCAACAAACGTTGCACATTCAAAATGAGATCACCTAACTAGTAAATACTAGATGTAGTCGAGAAACGGACTAATGTCCACATCTAGGTGGGTGTAGCCTGTATTATTTGATAAGGGGACCCGCCGTAGAAGCTTCTCGAGTCTGCTTCAACATGGGTAGCCTGAGCAGAAGCACGAACCAACACAGCTTCAGCCCGTCGGCTAGGAGCCAGCCAGTGAGAATGCTTTTATGTTGGCGTCAGTCGATAACAGTACTTTTGCATTGGAATCAGTTAACGGGAGCGCGTACCGGCATACAGTAGCGCGGAATCTTCTAGTTCTTTTCTGTCGAATTACATCATCAGAGACGTTTTGACGGCTAAAAACAACACATCTTCGGCTCTAGCCAGTGTATTGTCGAGAATTTTATACTTTATTGCTCTGAGAATCGAATAGTTGTGTCGGTTGCCGCGCTAACGGCATTAACACAGCAATGCCTTTTGAGAAGGCAACATAGATATTAGATTTGTCCAGAAAGTGACGACACTGTTTTTAAACAGTAAAAAGTGTAGGGCGGTCAGTGGAGGAGGATGGGCTCTGTGTTCCACATAGTTCAAATCACTTGGGATGTGGACAGCTGTTGGAGCGACGTGTAATAGTGATAGATGGTGGAGGTTTGTGTGAAACCTGAAAAGTCAGCTACCGGGGAGCTTTTATGCCACAGAGCCTACGAAGACGAAAAACGCTTCATCGAAAAGACAAAATCAGGGATTAACAACGCACAGGGCACTCGCTGATGTCTTACACTTGAAAAGGGGGATAAAACAAAAGCAATCGCAAATTCTGATCGATATATGAATTCTAACTTGGCAGGAGATCAAGTGGAGCTATCAAAAGCCATTGTGTGAAATGGTTATGAAAGAAATGCAGAGGCGGAATGTTTATACCAAATTGGTTCCTAAGTTCCGGAGTGACGAACAAAAGAAAACCCGTGTCGATTTATCGTGAGCTTTAGGACCGTGTCAAGAACCTATTTAAGGAAAAAGTGATAACACATGATGAAGAGTTGACTTTAGTACAATCCGGAGACAAAAAAGTAGTGCTGAGTGAATCAGCAGAGAGAGCCCACATTCAGGGAAGATTTGAATGGGCGGATCAAGATGAAGACAGAGCTTCTCCTTTATCGAAACCCGGATAAAGTATCAAAGTTGCATTGCATGTAACCACTGAATAACGGATCACCATTTTCATCCGGAAATAAGCAACGTTTGGATTACTCAATATTTGAGTGCGTCAGCTCATGCGTTCCTGATATTGACAATTTTCCAACAAAACAAACAGTTGAAACGATGCTTAAATATGCACACATTGCAGACTTCACCATTGTCTAGTTCTTCTTGTTTCGCCGGTTCAAATCCAACTAGGTATGATGCAATTATGAGGCCATTAGAATCGTGCTTTGAAAGATTTTCCCGTCCGACTTCCAGGTGAACTAGAGTGGCAGAAACTGCGGCCACACTGCGCTGATGCTCAAGGAGGTTAGCACCGATGGTTGTAAGTGTGTGCAAAAGTATTTTTAAATAAAGAAATTGTGAGTCTCATTACTTTTCGGACAGATTATGTCGATAACGGCTGGTTCAGAACGTTAATCACTAGGCTAAATCGATACTAGATAACTAAGTGCGTCATAGCGATTCGTGGACAGATAGTACTGAGACTCTACGTAGGCGAGTTGGATACAAAAAACAGTCGACCATTAAACGTCCTGATAAGGAACTATCTCAGATTTTCAAAAGGCTAAACTAAATGGCGTTACATCTAGCTAAAGAGGATAGTTTATCAAGGATCCGGTTGATACCCAGATCTCTTGACCGACCGACAAGGTACCATGGGGCATTAGTAGCTGGATGAAAGAAAGATGAGTTTAACCTTTAAACTGCTGGCCTGTACCAACTACGCATGCGTAGTGCCGCCCGTCGAGTCAAAACGTCGAGTAACCAATTGATGAAACTTCGTCAAGACCGGATAGTGGCGGTGGTGATACGTACGCAATTAAATTAGAAAACTCGAGCATTAAGCAACTACACAATATAAAAGTTTTGTCCGACACCTGAAGAGTGCAATGAAGTAACGAAAACAAATTATGAAATGTTTCTAAAACTGCATCATAAAAGGCATCAAAAGTACCGTAGCACACCGTACCGACGCACTGCTGCCACATGAGCACCACCAGTCGCGCGAAGGCTAAGAATACCGCAAGGTCGCCCACACCTAAGGCCGGTCCGTTGCCTTAAGGATCACGAGTCTGCTTTGTAATTTGAGGTCTGCGGGCGACCCTCGCAGTATCCCTAGCCCACGCGCGACTACTGGTGGCTGCGCGGCAGCGAAGCGTCGATACTGCGTGCAGGCGTGCTTCTCATGTCCGCACTTAAGCAGATTCGAACAGACGACCTCAGGAATACAATGCAAGCGCGTAATCCCTTCGACCACCAGCTGATGAAAAAAAACTGCGTGATACAATGAAGGTAATGCATCCGTGAAATAGTCACATAATGGTGAACGACAGACGGATAAGGCCGGTACTGTACACAAATATGTCGAATGCCAGTTCAAAAACCAAGGGGAAGAAAATGGTGGAAGTATCAATAAACACAGTAACCAGCCTTCAGACACGAAAACTTGTCACTACATTAAGTCGATTTATAAGTGAGACCCTAGTTTGAGAGTGTAAAGGAAAACCGGACTCTGAGGTGAGAGCAGAGGAAGTCCCAGATAAAGGTAATGGATGGGCAAAATAGAAACCAGTAGGAGGAAATAAAGTGCGTATCGCCGATCGTAAACTAGACTCTGGAAAACATGCGACTGCATATGACAACATCAATGGCCAATGTTGAAGCACTCGCTTTGGATGCCTAAAGTCTGCCTCTGCCCCAAATCCCGTAACGGTGAATCAAGAAAGTTGTTAGGTAAGAGGAATTAATCTAGAGAAGTAACAGAATGAGCAATGGTGCCAGTGACAGTCGATGATTTGACGCAAGTTCTTAGAGATGAAGTAAGAAAATAGTGTAAATAAAAGGCATTGAATACTCACCAAAAGCAGATTCGCAATATATTGGCTATGAGGAGGATTAAACAAACGAAAGTGGAAAATCCTTTTACGCTGCGCAAGCGACGGATCTCCAGGTACTGAGGAACATAAGGCACAATTCCACCGAATATGTAAATCAAAGTGTAAATAGAATACACCGAGTCTTTGATGAACTTGAGCACATCGTTTACCGCGTAGCTGGCCATGGATGGCGGCGTGTGAAGGCTCAACCAGGGAAGAAAAAGCTGCCGCAGAAAAAAGCAGTGGCACGAAATCTGAGCTAAAGTTTAAAAAAAACAAGTTGAGAATATGATGTGGGGGAATGTGTGGGAAAGTCGAAGGACTTATGGTTGCCCACCGTTGACGCATTAGAAGCACGCCGTGCGTGCAGGAACTGTGCGACATATAGCTTGTTGTTGTAGGGGTAAATGCGTCAATGTCTATGGTTCCAGTCGCACTGTTGTTGCGTACAAACCAGTGCGAACCGGTCGTGCTTCAAGTGAGCAACGCCTAGCAGTTACATCGGATGAAACATTGGTCCAATGAACATGCAATCCGAAATACTTCCATGACATCTGTTGTACAGTAAGGAGGTCCATCGTGAGGAGATTGGACCTTAACGTGGTGCTATGGTTTGCGCATCTTCAGGTGGCACTTTCCTAGTGGCTTCAGAGCCACTCATACCAGACAGGCCAATGGTTAGGGGTCAGACTAACTCACTTAGAATTGACTCCTCTTCGGATGTCAGGGGGATGGTGATGGCCCTCTTCCCTTGAAGCCTAGCCATGAGAGACAACACGTTCACGGGTTATACGCTCTCAGTTCGTTTGGCATGGAGCACGAACGACACACATTGTTCCTGATAGTGAGGAGGCACCATCCGATGCTCAGTGGTTTGCCGCCGTCCGCGTCAAACCAGACGGCCCCTGGTCAAATTGGTGCAAACCCGCCAGCTCCTACCTGTGGCTGATCGTTATCGCAGGTGCGTAACATGGTTAGCGGCATCTGATTTCTGATTTGCCTATCACTGCAGCCTACATAGGACGGCTGAGCCTACAGAGGGACCATACGTGGCTTGCGCTGCACCACCCACAGCTCCATCCAGTGTCGACGCGAGAGAGTAAGAGCAGGGAGGCATGTGGATAGCAGGCCCGTTTTATCAACAGAGTCGGTCTACACTCTTTCAACATACACAACAGCAGCCCTGTCTATCTATGTGGGAAATCATGCATACCAGATAAGGTGGTAGCTGGACCGTAGCCCGCTCTACACTAAACGGAATCACCCGTTGAGCCATGGTCACGATGACCGTGCACCCCGTTTACCCAAGCAACGACCAACTGTCTCCTGGAGCCAATATAAGTTAGGTAGCGACTTTTCGACAGGTAGGCACCTTGTTAACATTCATATCAAGGGCACCCAGACCGGAGGTATCAAAAGCAAACCCAGAATATGGAAGAAAATAAACGCGTAAACTGGACAGAAGCTGTGGGGCAGAAAGACAGAACAGAGGAAAGCTAGTGTGTGATGTTTGTTGTGTAAATGTAAGCTAGAGTATATCAACCGATTAACAACGAAAATGTAAGAAAAAGCGCGCGAAATAAACAGGGAATGTGCGGAGGATTAACAGAACTAAGCAAATAAAATAAAATGGATTCAGCCAGATCTGGTGTAATGTTCAACATACGCAAATCACTCTAACCCATCTGCAGTGAAGAAGCGTAAAATAGGCAACATCAACCTCAACATGATTCGCAGGTCGCGAAACATGTGTGCATTATTCTAAAGCTGTAAAGGTTGTGTATGACAGGTTTCAAGCAGATCCGAAGGGGGTCTTTGCAATCACACTCTCGAGCTGGACTTGCTCCCCACTGTCTTGTGCGTCAGGCTACTAAGCCAGAGACTTCGGGTAGAGACTCTCAAGTGAAACTCAGTATAGCCCACTGTCTTGTGGGTCAGATTGTTGAGTCAAAGAATAGAGGTGGGACATCTCAAAGTAAACATCTATATCGGAATGAGCAGTCATAAAGTATCATCTACCTCATCGGCTCCGACGACAAGACTCCCTCCACTCTTTCTTCTTCCTCTTCGTTTTCTCTCCTCTCAACTCTGTTCTTCCACATACATGGAGCAAGAGACTGCTGCTGACGTCACAACGACTGGTATCGATACATGTAGCTCTTCCAGAAAACCTAGGGTTTCATTTCATATTTGTTCGTTTAACGTTCGCACTCAGGGTTGACTGCAATAGTGGCTCTGTCAAGGAGAACTTTTATCGTGGGCTTCAGCAACCCTTGAGTAGCGCTAATAAATCGGAGTTCGTTGTCCTTGCTGGGGATGTCAATGCACAAATTGGGCGACCTGCTACTGTACGAATGCCACTTTGGTGGTCACCACGCGTGCGATGAGGACCGCTCCGATAACGGAGAGACTTCTCTCATTGTGCGAAGACAACCAGCTTTTTTCGCTCGAGCACCAACTTCAGACCCACGACGAAACGTTCAGCAACTTGGCGTCCCCCTTCGCAAACACAAATGTGATCTCAAATTGATCAGACCGCAATCAGCTTCAGATGGCGTGGCAGCATACGGGACTTCAAATCTTTTTGGTCAACTACTGACTAGAATCATGTAATAGTCTGCGCGAAAATCGACACGTGTTTTGGGATCTCTAAAAAGGAAGCACCACAAGAATGATGTAAACAGACTAACCGACTCCTCGTTTCAGACATGTTTTCACTCGATACTGTCATCCGCACTAAGTTGTAAATCACCGCAAGACGGAGCAACACTGGACTATTATACAGAAGGCGATGGTCACCTCAAGACAACCAAACTGCGATTTAGTCCGACGCATTTTAAACGCTTGTATCTCTGCTCGCTCTACGGAGCCGTTCGAACCCCGCTGAGATAGCCCGGCAGAATCAGATAGAAATGAGAGGCGCCGCTCAAGCAAAACCTGCGCAAGGAAGGTGAAATTTGGTGGTCTGAAAGTGCTTTGGCCTCTCTGGCAACATCCGCAAGCTTTTCTAACTCATTCGGGTCCACTGGTCTCAGAAAGCCTGGTGTCAGTGAGGTTATTTGCGAGGCGGATGGGTCTCAGATCACCAACCAACAGAGACGTCTGAATCGTTGTGACGAGCACTTTCCTTGGCAATGCAACTCGCCTCCACCGTCCATCAGTGCACGCGGTACACCATGTCATCTATCTGGATCATCCCACTGAATACATTTAGCGAAGCGGAAGCCTGCCTTGAGGTTTGACGCTTGAAGTGATGCAAGGCTGCTGGCTCAGACGGACTTCCTCCGGAGCACTTCAGGTACGACGACGTGACAATCATTAATCAGCTGACCCCGTTGCTCGTAAAAATCTGGCGTGAAGAACAAGTGCTTTCCACCTGGGGTAAATCAGTTATTGTTCCGACTTTCATAAAAAGGTGCTCGCACTTCATGTGTCAATCAGTGTAGAATCAACCTTATTTCGGTTGCCTCCACGCTACTGGTATCCATCCTGATATGTGGACTATCCCAATACATGTATCATACTACCGTGGAGGTGGTTTCCGTTCTGACCGTGGATGTGTAGATCTAATATTCACCGTCTGCCAACTCCTCGAACATCGCCACACTTACCACAGGCCCACTATCGTCGCATTCCTAGACACACCGACTGTATCTGACTTCGTTTATAGACTTGCTTTATGGTGTTGTTTGTTGAAGATTAAGAAATAAAATAATATGTCAGCTGTACGCTGTAAGGTCACTTCGCTGCCGTGCGACCACAACCAGTCGCACGCGGGCTGAGTATACGGTGAGGACGCCCAACCATACTCGGATTCGAACCCGCGCCGAAAGATTACGAGATGAGCTCGTTACCTCTAGGCTAGGGGGGTGTCAGAGAAGTAAATCGCCATCTTACGTGCATTTTACCTTTATACCCGGTAGAGTGAGGGTCTACGGCAAGCTTTCCTCACCCGTCGCTATCAATGACGGTATGCGACAAGGCTGCCCTATGTCCTCATTTCTCTTCAACTTCGCAATGAAGGACGTCCTGTTGAGAGCTCTAAGTTTCCAAAATGTTGGCTTAAAACTTCTACTGAGTAAGTGCGCGACTGACATAGATTGCTGATGATATCGCCTTACTTGGTGACGATCCACAGGGCATGCAACTCATTCTGGAT